AACCTTAACTGCATCAGTACAGCCAGCCATGCTTTTGGCTAGGGTAGCGTATGGAGTAAAGATGTTCTAACTTGAGTTCAAATCGTGACTCCTCTAGAGATGAGCTGTGTCACCTGAGACCATTTGCTTAACCTCTTGAACTTTCAGATTCTTCATCTGTGAAAAGGTGGTCAAGTTTACTGAATGTTTATTGCGTGCAAGACAGTCCTGTGAAGTAGATCTTACTATTACTGTCCTCATTCTCATTTTACAACGACAGTCCTGAGGCACAGGGTTTTAGTAATGTGTTCAAGCTAATATACCCTGTAAATGATACAGCTTGGAATTTGAACCCAGACACTGGGTTGGCTTCACCCTGCTGCTTCTCACGGGTCTTGTGAGGATTAATTGCTGTGATTTATGCAAAGCAGTTAACATATAGGAACATAATTACTTAAGTGTTAGCTGCTGTTACTATTATCATCAACAACATCATTTTTAAAAATCCCTGTTTTAGGGGTGCCTGGGTGGCACAGTTGGTTAAGCGTCCGACTTCAGCCAGGTCACGATCTCGCGGTCCGTGAGTTCGAGCCCCGCGTCGGGCTCTGGGCTGATGGCTCAGAGCCTGGAGCCTGTTTCCGATTCTGTGTCTCCCTCTCTCTCTGCCCCTCCCCCGTTCATGCTCTGTCTCTCTCTGTCCCAAAAATAAATAAAAACGTTGAAAAAAAAATTTTTTTTTAAATCCCTGTTTTAGTATTAGAAAGATTACACACTATACAAATAAAGGCAATGACTTTAAGACCTAAATCCAATAATACCCACTACTATTAATTTTTTGAGGAACCTCCATACGGGTTTTTCAGAGTGGCTGTACCATGTGGCATTCCCAACAGTATAAGGGCCACACCCTCGCTAGTATTGCTTGTTTTCTTTAATTCATTTAGCCATTCTGACGGTGTGAGGTGGTATCTCATTTTAGTTTTGATTTGTATTTCCTTGATGATGGGCCACGTTGGACATCTTTTCATGTATCTGTTAGCCATCTGTTTCTTTGGAAAAATGTCCATTCTTCTGCCCATTTTTTTGACTGGATTGTTTGTTTTATGGGTGTTGAGTTTGATAAGTTCTTTATATATTTTCACTACTAACCCATTATCAGATACGTCATTTGTGATTATCTTCCATTTCATAGATTGCGTTATGAGTTTTGTTGATTGTTTCCTTTGCTGTGCAGAAGCTTTTTATTTTGACGAGGTCCCGGTAGTTTATTTTTGCTTTTGTTTCTCTTGCCTCAGGAGACCTATCTAGTAAGAAATTGCTACAGCCCACAACCAAAAAGTAATGCTACAAATTTTTGAGTACTTACCAGATGCCAGGCACTGTGATAGGCAAAGGAGGAGCAAAACATTCAAAACTTACCTGCTCTCCTAGGGTTTTCATTCTAGTATGGGGAGATAGCCAGTGGACAAATTAAGTAAGTACCACATATATGATGTCAGATGATAACATGTACCATGGGGAAAAATGAAGCAAGAAAGGAGGCTAAGGTTAATGGGAGGAGGTTGTTGTTTTAAATACAGCAATCTGGAAGCACCTCCCTGAGAGATGTGATTTAAGCACAGACGTGAAAAGTGCAAGTTAGCTGTGGGGCAGTCAGGGGAAAAAGTCAGACAGAGAACAGCCAGTACCAGAAGCATTTAGAAGAACGTGCCTATGAGTTTGAGAAACCGATGGAGGTGTAGGCTTGAAGCCTGAGAAAATGAGGTAGAAAGTAATAGGACAGAGGTCAGAGGCTGTACCCAGCAGTTACAATAAAAGAAGGTATTGGGTACAAAGGGATTACATGATTCTCTCTACATTTAAATATTTACTGAATTGAAAACAAGCAATTTTCTTAGTCTGCTTAGGCCACTGTAACAATTCCGTAGACTGGAGGCTTAAACAATCAACATTTCTTCCTGTTCTGGAAGCTGGGAGGTGCAAGATCAGGGTAACAGCATGGGTGGTTCTTGGTGAAGGCCCTCCTTCTGGCTTACGGACAGCCACCTTCTTGATGTGTCCTCACAGAGTGGCAAGAGAGCAAGTGGAAGCTCTGGTCTCTTACTTTCCTTAGAAGGACACTAATCCCAGCATGGGGCCCCACCCTCATGACCTTTTCTAAACCTAACTACCTCCCAAAGGCCCTGCCTCCAAATACCTCCACACTGGGGATTCTAGCTTCAACACACGAATTTGAGGGAGATATAAACCTTGGTTCCATAACAATAATTATAGATTTTGATAGTAACTTAGAAGGAAATAAAGGGAAATGATAGGAGTCAGGAGGGGGTGGTGGGTGGCACACAGCTGGAACAGCAGGTGATGGAAAACGCCTCATTTAAAAAGAGGGTATTTGAGCCAAGAAATGAATGGAAGAGAAGGAATCATCCATTGAAAGAATCAAATGAAGAACATTCCAGGCAGACAGTAATCACTGTCCTCACTGTCAGTGCAAGGGCCCTGAGACTCCGCCTGGAACAGGAGCATTGCGCAGCAGGACTAGACATTGGAGAAGTGAGCAGAATGTTGAAGTCCTTGCAAGAAAGGAGTTTGAATTTTATTCTAAAGGCACTTAATTTATTCTAAGGGTTTGAGCAGGCAAGCAATATGGTCAGATTTATATCTTTGGAAGATCACTCATTGCTGTGTGGAGAATGACTGCTCACGTGTTCTCAGCCTTGAAATTACTAGACACCCACTCAAAAAACCTGGAGTCGTTCTTCACTTACACTTTTTCTTCTCCCAACTCATTCATCTGCTCCTGCCGCTGAATCTGGTGGGGCTTTCTACTGCCTCTGCTCTTCCACAGATAGATCCCACACACACAACCATCACAGTGACTCATTTGGGACGCAGACCCAACTCCTCTACTTAAAACCTCTGGTTGGAGTGTAAATGTTATTTGTCTTCATAGTTTGCTAGATCTTGAAAGCAAAAAAAATATATATATACACGTATATACATATATATATATGTATGTATATATATATGTATCTCCGGCTGTCCTCATTGCCTAGAGCATAAAGTCCAAGTTCCTTGTACAACATATTTCATGATCTGGGACCTGTTCACTTTTCCGGCTTTATCTCTCAGCACTTACAGCCTTATGCTTTATGCCATACGTACTCTAAACTCCTTAGTTTCCCCCAGAAGTATCACATTCCTCTTCACTTCCGTTTTAACTAATGCTCTTGCTGCTGCCTGAAAGCGTAGTATGAACACACTGCATGGGTTCACAGTCCAGCTTAGGCAAGTTACGTAAATTCCCTCTGCTTTGATTTTTCTGTCTGTGGCTTATGAATAATAATAGCATGCACCTCAAAGGATTTGGAAAGAGTCAGACAAGATACTGTATGGGAAGTTCCTGCCACTACGTTTGACTCATTTCTGTCTCATACACTAGTTTGTTTTTTTGTTTTGTTTTGTTTTTAATTTTTTTTTACATTTATTTATTTTTGAGAGACAGAGCACAAGTTGGGGAGGGGCAGAGAGGGAGAAGGAGACACAGAATCCGAAGCAGGCTCCAGGCTGTCAGCACAGAGCCAGACGCCAGGCTCGAACTCACTAACCATGAGATCATGACCTGAGCTGAAGTCAGATGCTTAACCGACTGAACCACCCAGGCGCCCCTGCATTTCTTTAGTCTTAAAAGCCATCACAAGCTTCAAGCTGGTCCCTTGCCATCTTTTCCCTCTACCATTCAGCCACACTAAATGCCTCACCAGATCCTTCATGCTCTCTCTGTGGATCATGGCAGGGAACATCGTTTTCTCATATTTCCTTCCTTCCTCATCTGCAGGCCCCAATTATATGCATCTTTAATCTGGCTAATCCGCTACTCATTATTTAGGCCCCAGTTTAGTCATTTCTTCCAGAAAATCTTTCCTGACCACTAACATCATCTCCATCAGCACTAGTGTGGGCTAAGGTCCTCATATGTTCTTATGTCTTTTATTACTCATACCACTTAATCACAGTGCAGTGAAAATATCAATTTACTTCTCTCTGTCCCCCCCCCCCCCAATTTTATGCTCGGGGAGGACAGAGGCCTTGTCTTTTGGGTTCACCACCGTTTCTCATGCTCCTGATATAGAATATGACTCATCATCATTGATACCGATAGTTCGAATTTTATCTCTGCCCCTTACCTTGGGCAGATGATGTAACATTTCTAAGATTTCATTTACTCAGCTGTAAAAATGACATACACACATAGGATTGTTTTAAGGATTAAATTAAATACTACATGTAAAATGCTTAGCCAACAGTGAGCACTTGTAGGTTGACTGTTGTTTTTACATATTAACAACAGTAAAGGGTGCCACAAAGACTCCACTTGAGGGAAATAAGATTGTATTCTGGGAGATGAGGCAGAAGCCCAACAGGTAGTGGGTCCAAACAAGGGTAGTAGATACGTTCACCTTTGAGCAACAAGTGTCTGTAATCATTTCAACCCTGTGGGGACGAAGTGTTGAACAGCTACTGTATATAAGGCAAATTGCTAGGTTCTGTAAGGATCACAGTAACAGCTAAGATGTGATTTATATCCTGGGGAGCCTGGGTGGCTCAGTCAGTTAAGCAACTGACTCTTGATTTCGGCTCATTAACTGACTCTTGATGTCACTGTTGATGGATGGGACTAAGCCCAACATTGGGCTCTGCGTTGGGCTCTGTGCTGACCCCATGGAGCCTGCTTAGGATTATCTTTCTCCTCTCTCTCTGCCCCTCCCTCTCTTAGACACATGTGCTCTCTCTCAGAATAAATAAACATTTTTTTAAAAAGTGATTTCTGACCTTACATTGCTTAAAATATAGTATAAGACTTAAGACATGTTTTAAAACAAAAAAGACTAATGAGGGGGAAGAGTAGCTTAATGAGTATAGAGTTTTAGATTTGCAAGATGGTAAAGTTCTAGAGATCCATTTCACAGCAATGGAAATATACTACTTTAACTTGTTGTAAGTATCATAGGAATGATACAGATAAGGAGCTAGAAGACTGAAGGGAAAGAAAAGTCATTTTTGAGGTGATCAGGGAACCTTCAAAGGAGCTTTTTGTGTTATCTAAACCTTGATAGATTAGATACATGCCTTACTAACTTCTCTTTTTTCTTTTTGTTCCCCTTTTCTGCAGTACTGTATCTTGTGTGGGCTTTTATTCCTGAAACTTGGCTAAACTCCTTAGGCTTAACCTACTGGCCTCAAAAGTAAGTTTAATGATTTTCTTAAATAAAAATGTATTAATGCTGTTTCTCAGGATCATAGTTTTTCCTTTAGACTTCCCAAATCTTAAATATTTATTCTTTTAAGATCCATAAAAAGCCATATAGAAATCTAAAGCTTTTTAAAGGACATCACTGATACACCTTTAATTAAAAATGGTGAGGTGGACACAACATCATTATCTCCATTTCCTCCTGACATCTTGCTCAGATATCACTACAGAAAAAAACATTTTAAGGTATAAACCCATGGGAACAAATAATGGGATAGCAGGTAAGAAGTATCAACAGAATTTAAGGAAATGCATTGCAGGTAGGTGAGTGGTAACTGACTTAGTTTCCACTTTTTCCATGTTGCTATGGTATGGAATGATACAGGATTGCAGCTTTTCATCATGAGACCTTGTAGAACGATTTGTCTAATCAAAAATAAAATTAAATTCAAAAAGCATGTTACCTTGGTGACGGACTCTTGAGAATGATGACTTTTTAGGCAGTTACCTACTTTAATATTTTCTTCTGCAGGTATTGGGCGATTGCATTGCCCGTCTACCTCCTCATTACTATAGTAATCGGTTATGTACTCTTGTTTGGAATAAACATGATGAGTACCTCTCCACTCAACTCCATTCATACGATCACAGGTAAACGTACCTCAGAGGGAAGTGTGGGGGAATGGAAGAGAAAGGGTCAGCAGTTTTATCAAGAAAAGCAACCGAGAATAGGCTACAGTAGGTGACACACACTGGCCCAGTAAAAAGAACCTGGGAGAAATAAATACAAAGTTATACCAGAGGAGATGTTTACATGGCAGAAATAAATTCTAAATCTGCTGTTTATAGCATGTGTATTTTCCCCCACAAGTACATAATATGTTCCTTAGCAACTGTGCCTGAGAAAAACAAATTTTATCCTAAACAGGCAGTGTTGATCAAGGCAGGCAAATCGTTCCATGCAGACCTTGTCTAGGAGAGCAATGTGACAGTGTGCCCCCTCCTCAGGACCCTTGTGTCCATCTGACCCCAGTTCTGTAGATCATGTTTCTGTAGTTTTTTTAAATTCCCTTAAGTCTAACGATCAAAGTAAATTCCTGAGCTTGCTCAGATTGTAAGAAGTGAAGTATTTTTTATTATACTTATGGTATTAATCACACCATATTGCTTGGTATGATTTTTTTTAACTTTTCAAAGCTTTTGTTTCATGAGTCTCTACAATATATTTTGAACCAGTTACAGTATTTTTATATTTCTTTTCTGAGAACCTACTGTATTTCCTGAATTCTTGCCTGGAATTACCGCAAATAGACAATTTGTACAAAGGGGATGTCATTACGTTTGCATGAATGATTTAATAGTTTGGGGATATTGGGTTAAATCTGTTTTCCAAGCCTCAGTCTAATTCTGTCCCTATGAGAAGTGTGCAAGTGGGACTTTAATCATCACTGTACAGTTGAATGAAATATTAATTTCTTATCCTAGTTAGATATAGAAAGGACTTTCCTGATTTTTATTCCAGTTGGGACATTTCTTTTATTTTTTTATTTTTTATTTTTTTTAATTTTTTTTTTCAACATTTATTTATTTTTGCGACAGAGAGAGACAGAGCATGAACGGGGGAGGGGCAGAGAGAGAGGGAGACACAGAATCGGAAACAGGCTCCAGGCTCTGAGCCATCAGCCCAGAGCCTGACGCGGGGCTCGAACTCCCGGACTGCGAGATCGTGACCTGGCTGAAGTCGGACGCTTAACCGACTGCGCCACCCGGGCGTCCCGGGACATTTCTTTTAAAGAGAGCATTCAAGTAGTCTTAATTATGTTAACACGGTATTTATTATTATGCAGATATTAGCTCAGTAAACTATGTGGTGGATCTCCATAAATCACAGAAACCGTAGAAGAAATTACTTAGGTAAGCATAGCTTTTTGTCCTCTTCTTACAGATAACTATGCTAAAAATCAACAGCGGAAGAATTACCAAGAAGAGGCCATCCCGGCATTAAGAGATATTCCTATTAGTGAAGTAAACCAAATGTTCTTTCTTGCAGCCAAAGAACATCACACCCAAAACTAAATTGTATGTAGACTAACAACAAGCATTTATTATAAAAGTTTTTGATGTAATAATTTTGACCGTAATTATTTTGACTCTCTTGTTAAAACATGATATTGAAATGTAAAAAAATAAGTTGAGCCTGTTTTAGATAAAGTTCCGTTAATATTGTAAATATTCTTGGGGCGCCTGGGTAGCTCAGTCGGTTAAGCATCTGAGTTCAGCTCAGGTCATGATCTCACAGTTCGTGAGTTCGAGCCCCACATTGGGCTGTCTGCTATCAGCACAGAGCCCACTTCAGATCTTCTTTCTCCCCCTCTCTCTGCCCCTCCCTGTCTTGTGCGTGCACACACGCTCTCTCTCTCTCAAAAATAAATAAACATTAAAAAAACGTAGATGCTCTCAAGTATTAGTTATTAATGGACAAAATAAATACTGCATTACCACATACCAGACTTTTTGAAACATAAGTATCTGTAAAATAAAGAAATCCCTCCAGAGAGACATTTATGCTGTAATTCTTTTTTAATTTTTTTTTAATGTTTATTTATTTTTGAGAGAGAGATAGAGACTGCAAGCAGGGCAGGGGCCGAGGGAGAGGAGACACAGAATCAAAAGCAGGCTCCAGGCTCCAACCTGTCAGCAGAGAGCCCGATGTGGGGCTCAAACTCACGAACCGTGAGATCATGACATGATCCAAAGTCGGCCAGTTAACCAACTGAGCCACACAGGCGCCCCTCATGCTGCAATTTTTAAATGGCAATTATGTCCTTCCTGCTGTTTGTTCTTGGAGGCCCAGAATTCGAACTCTGATTTGGGAGAAGGGTACATTTAATTTGTATGTTCTTGCCATCACATTTGTGTCTAAGACACAAAGAAACATTTGTGGAGTACTTCCAACATACCAGGTATTTTTCTAGATGTAGCGATGAAAAGATTCTCTCTGAAAGAGCCTACATTTTAGAGGCAGATTGAGACAGACTAAGCAAATAAAATATTTGTGATGAGTGCTATGCAGAGAATTAAAATAATATAATGTTCTAGAAAGTAAAGGGATGACTACTTTAGATTGGGTCAGGGAAGGCTGCTCAGAGAGAGGCAGTTGAGACTGAAATTTGATTAGCAAAAGCAGGAGCCCAACAGAAGGATCAGAGACAAGGGAGACCTTGCAGGTGTGAAGCAGCCAGGGCAGAGGCCTCCAGGTGAGAAGGAGCTCAGCGTGTCCTGAGGACGGAAGGCCAGCAGGGGGCCTAGAGTGCTCTGTGCCAGGGGGTGTGGTCGGGGGAGCCTGGAGAGGCCAGCAACACGGCAGTGGGCTTTGTGGGCCAGTGTAGGAAGTCTGGACTTAAGGGTCCGTGTGAGGCGTTGGAACCCTTGAGACACTGAGCGATCGGGAGGCTTTAAGGGAAGGCATGACATGGCCTGATGTATGTTTTTAAAAAGTTGCTCAGGCTGGTGGATAGAGGATGGATTCAGGAGGGAGAGTCCGGGATGGGGCAAGAGTATGGAGCAGAGTGGTGGCGGTGGAGCTGGGGAGGAGTCACTCTGCAGCCTTTGTCGGAGACGCAGCTGACTGACTGTGTGGGGTAGGCAAGCTGCTGAGACGAGTTGTGATCAAGGGCCCCTCCTGGGTTCTTTTGGATCAATGAGTAGATGGTTCTACCTTTTGCCGAATCAGACAGTATTTGGGGAAGTGTAGGTGAGGGGGTTGGAGAATTTGGTATATGAGTTATTTGGACTGATGCCACCTTGTGAACATGTTTGCGTCCACGTGAGATTAAGAAGCTTAAAGTTTAAAAAACAAACCATGTAGGGGCGCCTGGGTGGCGCAGTCGGTTAAGCGTCCGACTTCAGCCAGGTCACGATCTCGCGGTCCGTGAGTTCGAGCCCCGCGTCAGGCTCTGGGCTGATGGCTCGGAGCCTGGAGCCTGTTTCCGATTCTGTGTCTCCCTCTCTCTCTGCCCCTCCCCCGTTCATGCTCTGTCTCTCTCTGTCCCAAAAATAAATAAACGTTGAAAAAGAAAAATTTAAAAAAAAAAAAAAAAAAAACAAACCATGTATAACTTTGTAAGAGTATACTCACAGTTGGCCAGTCTTAGCAAGCATTCAAGGCCTTCTAACTTTGAACACACTAAATCTCTACATAGAGGTGGAGCTACCCATTTTTGTGCAGATTTAACTATACCTTCTGTAAAATGAAAAAAAAAAGGAACTATTAATTTTAAATAGTTGGGAAAACTAGGACTTCCATTTCAAGGACAGTATCCCTGCCCAATGAGCACGAGATGGATGACAGGAATCTGCTATTTCTGTTGTTGTTTGTCCCATTTCCTGTATTTTTATGGTAAGAGCATCTCACCACATTTAAGAGCAGTTTAAGAGGACCAGTCAGGTCCATCCAGGATAGAATGGTAAATAAATGGTGATCTGTTTATACATTGAAAAACCCTTCAGCCGTACAAACAATGAATCACTGCTTTATCTAACAACAGGAATGAGTATCACAGATATATGTTGGGGGGAAAAACAGACGTAAAAGAATATATACTATATGTTTTCATTTACATGAAATTCAAAATCAGGAAAAACTACTCTGGTGATAAATATTGGAATGGTGATATTAACTAGCAGAGCCATGAGGGAACC